CAATCATCAGTCAATCAATAATCAATCAATCAATCAATCAATCAATCAATCAATCAATCAATCAAAACTTTTTTTTTTTTTTTTTTCAAAATTTGTATCTTCATTTTTTTTTAACACCTCATTTCCCTGCAAAAAACAGAATTTCATTTCTAAAAAAAATACAGGTCAATTCAGGGACCATACATCTCATGATAAACAATGTGTCAATGACAAAAAAAATTCCTGCTTTTTTTTTTTTTTTTTTTAAATCCAATTTAGTTTTTGATTTTTTTTTAAATCCTAAACAAACTTGAAGGAGAACGCACTCACAAGGATGCGTGACAGCCAGCAGGCCGTGCTCAGAACCGGAGTGAGGTAGTAGAGAAGAAGAGACAGACCATAGATATGGAGATGGAGTGGAGAGAGAGAGAGAGAAAAAAATAGCATACCCAGAAAGCCATATGGAGACACATGTACGCGCAAAAGGCAAAATACACTTTAAATGAAAAAATCGTGAACGATCGAAGTGCCAATGTGGCGTGATCCCTACGATCGTTTCAACCGTCCGCCAATGCTCGTAAATAGCTGTGCGCCTATCTACGAGTTTTCCAAACCCTACACCCCCATATTTTTTTATTTTTTTTTTACGTATTTTTAGGGGTCCAAGAAAAAAATAAAAAAAACAGGCTGCGGATTGGGCCTCATCGCCCACGGCCGCAGCGGCCGAAATGCTTGCGGCGTAGGCCGCGGGTGTCACATAGCTGACGGGTGGCATTCCTTCCCGCCCTTCCCTCTTCCACCATCTCTATTCCACCCGCCTCCTGGTCACTATCTTCCCACATGCTACCACTCGCTCACTCGTCACCACTTTTCCCCTCCATGTCCTTCTCTTCAGCGTAGATTGGCAGGAATTTAATAATATAAACCTTTATTGCATGATCGCGGACACAATCCCCGCGTGCAAAGACTATGAAGATTTCTGCGCTGCCATCCGCCGCACCGTCTGCACTCTCTACCCTGACTACCTCGCCTCCCTCCCTCACCAACGTCGACACCCGCGCTTCCCCCGTATCTATCGCAATGTCTACTATGTCCCGCTCCCCACTGGAGACAAGGAAATCCGTCGCTTCATGCCTCCGCTTCCGCAAGTCCATCCACCACCGCTTCCACCCGTCATTAGATTGCCTTTTCCGGGTAACGTTTAGGATTGAGCGCACGAATGCCACATTGGATGACTTCCACACTCGGATCTCACGGTAAGTGGCACGTGCAAGCTCCACGTCAATCCTCGGAGCATGGATCGACGCCTGATGAGAGAGCAAGCAGGAGCTTGCTCAAGATTGGAACCCCCTGGGCGTCATATATGTGACGAACTATTTCTTCTAATCGCCCGACTTTCTGCGCGAAGCTGCTTTGAGCGGAACGAGACGCACTGGTCGGGTGAAGTACGTAGGAATGGGTCGGAAGGGCGGGTTGCATGGATAGCCTCGTTTCTTGTTCGTTTTTCCTTTGGATTTTTGGACCAGTACCGAGAACAGTCCCGCGGAGGCAGTTAGGTGACCGCGCCTTAGCGAGCGCAAGAAATAACTGTTGCGAAGCTTCTTTCTTGTTCTGCTGTCGACACTGGGAATTTTGGCATGACTGTTGCGTGGGAATATTATTTTTAAATTTTTAAACTGTTGTCGAACCCCCCCCGGACTCCTCGAATCATTTTTCTTTCAGAATTTATTCGTGCGACTAGAATTTAGACTAGGAATTGAGGTACCTTGCAATCTGGTTGCACGGCGCATCTTGCTCGCGCATATCGTGCCTATGTCCCCCCGTACAGATACGGGGAGTACGAACGGTCGTACGGCTGTACGTACGGGCCCCCAGACAGTCATACGGGCCGTACGTACAGTGGTACGACACGTTTTCGGGGCCTTCCCGGGCGGGAAATGGGATTTGAGGGGGGGGGGGGTGTGCATGTCGGGTGCCTGTCTCTTA